GTTTTTGTTATTTAGATGCAAGACCAGTTTCTCCAACTGATAGTAATTCTAGTTTAGGTTCATCTGCTAGCCAACAAATTAAACAACAACAACAACTACAACAGCAGCAGCAGCAACAGCCTGGATACACCCAACAGCAGTCGTCCCAACAGGCTTATGCACCAACACAGCCAGGTAAACTGATATATGTGTGTATCATATGAATTCAATGAAATAATAAACATGCTAGTAATATATATCCCAGGAGTACTGTACTCAAATCCAAGAATGAAGATTTCATTCAGTGTCTGGTTTACGAATGTGTATTCTGTTGTTGTTTTTTTTGCACATTGCATGATGGGTAAAGTTCAACAGAAAAGACATCAAGCAAAGTACAGCTCATTCTAGACGTAATAAATGTTGTGCATATTTATATTTATGCTACATTTGTATCTGAGTTGGCTTTTATTATGGCCAGTTATTATTACTTTATTATCATTTTTGTTATGCCTTCACAGAAAATAAACTTCATTTTTGGAACATCACACTAAGTTCTGACATTCATTCATGTGATAAAGTTGAATCAAACAGATTTAAGATACAGGGAATCGACTTCAAACTGGTTTTCACAAAGTCTAAACGAGTAGAAAAAATATCAAAGCTGCAGTCTTAACAAGGAGAAGTGGGCAAGGTTTCAATATTGTCACTATGTTTTTATGATATCACTTTCGTTTAGTGAATTACATGTTGAAGTTTATTATTCAGTTTTCTTGTATGAATTATTTTTGTTAGGACCAGCACCACAGGCTTCACCAGCCCAAGGACAGCAACCTGGTCAGTATGGACAGTCACCTGTGCCAGGACCACAGCTAGGATTCCAAACACAATCCACACCCCAACAAATGCCGCAGCATCCCGGACAGCAGCAGCCACAGATACCAGGACAGCAGCAGCCACAGATACCAGGACAGCAGCAGCCACAGATACCAGGACAGCAACAGCCACAGATACCAGGACAGCAGCAGCAACCTGGTTACCCAACAGCAACCCAGCAGCAGTATACTACTCAGCAGCAAGGCTATGGTTCTTATCCACCCGGCAGTCAACCTCAACCGGGTCAAGCATATGTTCAAAATCCTTCCTATACACAGTCATCTCAACCCCAAGGATACAGCAGTCAAGCTGCTGTACAGCAACCATATGCTAACCAACAGCAGTACCCACCTGGAAGTGTGGGAAACCCATACGCAAGAGGGTTTCCACAAACACAGAGAGCGTATCAACAGCCAGGACCTGGATATAAATAAATAATCACTCCCCCTCCCTTCCTTTGTTTCGCATACATTACATTGTGCAAACACATGTATGCATGAATCCTGCTTATTTGCAGGTTAATTATCAAAATATAAAACTAATACATTCAAATATAGTTTAAAGGGACACATTCTGTAACTGACTTGGCACATTCTCATTGGGACTCCACATACAACAACACACCTGTGTTTTAAATATAAGTGTACATATACCATAGATGGATTGTTTGGCAATGCAGTCACCTAGCTGACACATACATGCACGCACCATTGGAATGTAGTATACTGCCCTCAACTGGAGAAAGTTGAACTTTTATTGGGAAGTAGTAGACATTGAACCAAGAGACTGTCTACAATGCATTGCAACAAGAAAAAAAGAAAGAAAGAGCAAAATAGCGAAAGTTTTTTAGTAAAAGTTGAATAAATCAGGGTTATATTATACTGTGCATAATTATAATCTTATTGATTGTTGTCATGCAAAACGAGAAACAAAAAAATCATTGAATATCAATGTTGAAGAGCAAAGTATAATTTCATTTGGAATAAAAATGAATAACTTATTTGCCTTGCATGTGTATGGGTTGCTATGCATAGTATGGGACCCAAACTTGTGTAATTGAAAGTAACTGTTTTTCAAAATCGTGCCATGATGTTAATGAAAGCAACATACTATGTGGTTAACTCTGATGCATTTTATGATGTGTGTTCCTCTCTGGAGCCAAGAGTTGCAGAATGTGGCCCTTTAAGTTGCATTGAACAGAGTTATTACAATCTCTCGATGTGTTCAGTCTGCATGTGATATCAACTTGAACTTTGCTGTTATAGGAGGGAGTGTGCTTTCCAATGTATGAATCGATATGAACAGTCGCGCTTTATTTAAATTAACAAGATTGTGCTTTCTGGGTAGGGCTGCAATTTATTCATCCGTGTATAATGTCTAGTTTAAATGCTGCCCATGTACTTAATATACAGTAGTTACTCTTGTCATGGATATTAATATAGTACGGTAGCTGTTATGTGTTGCTTCAACTATTTCAGTAACATTCTGCTAGCATCGCCTTGAACGTCCCGAATCATTCTCTGCCACGGGCAAATTTAAATATTCTGATATTTTAAGACATATATACGGTGAACGCTTGGACATCTATAGTGATACTCAAAAACAGAAGAAGAATAGATTTATGTGATTTATTGAAATCCTCGCACTAAATTTTCCACGGAAAGTGCTGGTACGGATCCCTCACGCCATCGTGCTCAAGAGCGGGCCTACTTTTGTGTTAGACAGTGTATTCATGGCTATTTGAATTTTGACTTGAGGATACGTTTTTAAAAAAATATATAAATAAAAAACAAAACTGAGTAATATAGCATATTTGAAAAAATGTGTAATCCCTGGTATTGAGGTGTAAAATGTCACCTGTGGCAGAGACTGAATCTGGTTCTTCAACCACGCCACCACCAATATCTAAAATCAGAAAAAAGGCTTGGAGAATGTTTCAGTATGTGTGATCATTTCTATGAGTAAAGTCATTCTTGGTATAGCTGGATGGGTGTTGGAGTAGATAGTAAATTATGTTAATTTGCAATAAAATACATATTTAAAGTGGTTGATTATTGGATTCTACTCATTACATAATTCTAAGTATGAATTTCAGTGACCTTGTTTTTTGAGAATGTCTGTAGAACTAAAAAATGGTTCTGAACACAGTAATGTAAGTGTATGCTATTATAATCACACTAATCAAAATGTTTTTATGAATTAGCTTCTAGATAAGTTCAAGATGTTTGTAAACTAGTGTCCTATACAACAGGGTTTAGAGATGTTACCCATCTAATAGGGAATCATGATGGACTATTGAACCGTTAAAATCAGAACAGCTGAGAGCCCATACAGCCTGGGATGTCTATCACTATGACTTTTATATATACTCCTTCTTAAATCAAAAGTAAAATTCCAAATAAAAAGCAGATTTTTGGTGTAATTCTTGTCAATGAATCCCTTTAATGGAGAGAGTATGATCAGAGTTTATTTAACATTGGATGAATTAGTCAAATCTCTAAATGCCCTTTCATGAGTGACAGGAACTATGTCATACCACAATAGCACTTTGTTGATGCATTTATTGCAACCACTTAGTACACTAACACCAGTAATGAGAATGTACACACTTTTTGGGTCTTAAGGTAGCGAGACTTATTTGTGTTGAAAATAACGATTTTCACATTTATTTATTAATTGATGAAATGCACTATAAACTTTCATATGATAAAGTCAACATAACATAGAATGCCATGTAAGTT